TTTTTAAGACAGGATTTTTTTTTTAAATAGAAATTTTCGAAATGTATCGTCTGATAAACAGTGCATTTATCTACATGTTTAAGCCAGAATGATTTGACATTTAAATATTACTTCCCTACGACTTTAATTACCAATTACCTCAGGTTAGCCCAATTAATCCCAATCCTGTAAAAAACTGTATTAATGCTGTGATTTCAATCAAATTATATATTTTGTGATTCAATGTAAATCGTAGCCATAAACAAATGTGCTGAAATAGGGATACTTTTATATTTACAGGGGGGAAATACAACTATTCTTTTTGTGAAAAACCGTGTAAATAGGTTTATAAAGTTATTAGCTAATCTTAGCTTTGTTTAGTTTATCCTTTTCTACTTTGTCTTAAGTTAATTTCTGTCATTACAATTTATCTGACCTCTGCTTAGCTTATTTTAGCTTTGCTTTGTAAAATTTTAATTATTTAGGATTAAGGTGCCTTTTCCTAGCCTAATACTAAAGCTAGCATACTGTAGCCATGTTCACTTTATTTAAACATTTGCTTAGCTTACTTGAGCGTAGCTAAGTAGCTTGTGTTACCTACTTTTGGCTTGTTTTAGCTCAGCCACTGATGCCAACAGTCCGTCAATGACATCACCACCTAATTTGCATGGTTGATCATGCTTTGATCCAGCCATAGAATAGAAGAAGGTCAACGTTGGCAAAATGGAGCCTAGGCAGAAGTTCAATTGAAAAAACTCATCTGCCTTCGACACAAGCTAATCAGCTTTGAACCACGCCTCCACGAAGCCCAATCAGCATCCAGAGTTGATCTTAAAAGGTCTCCAAATCCACATCTCAGTCTGCAACCCAAAGCACAGGCAGTGGTTGCGCTATGTCTGGCTTTAATTCAAATGACCCCGATTCGACCCACCTCCAGTCCCTCCTCCACCATCGTAACTAAGCTTCATCAGAGTTTCTTTCCTTGGGACTATTACTGCGTTCCCTGTCTCATCTCAACTGGTTCGTCAGAAGACCGCCATGTTGAGGCTGGTTCTGCTAGAGGTTTCTTCCCAATAGGGATTTTTTCCTCTCCACTGTTGCCTTATGCTTGCAATAATTTATTTCACTAACTTTAGCTTTTAACATTTTATACTACCCGTTGGGGATGCAACTAACGATTTTTTTTTTTGCAAATCGATTGATCTATTGATTATTTTTTGATTAATTGTTTAATATTTGGATAGGAAAAAGGTTCTTTAAAGAAGATTTTTTTTTAACCAAATTAAGCCAGGTGAAACTAAAACTTTTCCACTTGCGAAATTCTGGATAGAGCAGATTGAAGAAATCTATTTTTTATCCTAAATACAAAATATTTATTTATTTTTTTACAATGTTGGTATGATTACTGCTCTAGGTGGTCGCTCTGTCGGCTACAGACATGTTCTACAGTCTTTATACACCAATGAATGATTAATCGATTTCTAATTTATTATATTCTAATTATTAATGATTATCGGAATAGTCGATTAATCATGATTAATCCGATTAATTGTTTCTGCCCTACTACCCTAGCATAAATTGCTAAAATTACTTTAAAAAGTCTTGAAAAAGAATGTTGCACCATATATTATAATACTGTACTTTAGCTGGTTACTTCCAGCCTCTTCTTCTTCTGGTAAAAAATTAAATAGTTTTCAATGAACCCAAAGGGAATTTTGTATGTTCTTTAAAGCAAGTGTCTGATTGAAAGTTTAAAGCACTTTATTAACTTCTTTATGGTCTTTCTTTTCTTTAAAATCCAGTCTAGTTGGTTAGCCTAAAGCTAACAACAGATCTAACATGGAGCCTCCTTTTTAGAAACCCGTGGGAAAAATGAAACCTGCAAAGTGTTTTTAATAACTGATAAAAACGTAATGCAATCTAAGAAATACCTTAGTTGTTTAAATAAACACCTTTGTTAGGATTTGGGTAATGGTGTTCTTTTATTATCTACCCAGTCAAGGAGATTTATATAATTTACACGAATGAATGAGTTAGGCTGGATTTGTTATGAAAATGACAACTCCTTACAGTAAAATAAACCCCTAAGCTTTAAAAATAACTCCTCTCAGTTCAAATCATCCCAGCTTTCCTGTACTGTGAGTGATCCATCATTAGCTTTGTGTAAGAAGAACTTAAGGAATAAAAATGGTTGTAATTCCTCTGGGAGTCTGAGTGGTTTTCAAACTGCAGCCTGTTAGAAATAACACCCTCCTTGAGTTGGCTGCGTTCAGAGCAGCTGAACAATAAGCTTTATCATAACTCACTTTGTTTTTTTCGTAGACCCGTTACTATCCAGAGTCTCTCAGGGTTCCAGTGAAATTACAACATTATGAAGCATGTGGTTCCACATAAATTATATGAACACTTAATGAACTGTGGAGTCCATACAGGCAGACTGAGCCAAGCTTATGTTACTTTTTTCCCTCCTTACTGACCTCTTTTCAGAAACATGTGTCGTGGAACCATCTCAGGTGCTGCAGCCAGCGAAGGAGTCCTCATATTAAACCTCGAGTCAGAAAAGTAGATGTCGACTTGAAAAAAAAGTAGTTTAACCCGAAATTGTTTGACTTCCAATTCAGTTTGATTTTTCCTGGATTGATGAATGGCCCTTAGCTGGAATCAGGGATCATATTTAGCACATAAACCACAATATTCATGACTGAGCATTAAAATGTCAAACACCATCTCTCTTTATATGAATATTTAATCTACAAGGGCAACAATCAAAACTAGTGTTGCGCTGATGCCATTTTTTGGCCCCGATACCGATGCCCGATACCTGGCTGTGCAGTACGGGCTGATAACGATACCATCTGTTTGATATTGATGTGTGTGTATATGAAGAACTGCATACTACTTGGGTGTAAAATAATTGTCATCATGGCTTTGTCAAGCTGCTGCCTACCTTTGTGAAGCAGGAAAAAGATTAATACAAAGGGAATCCAGTAGAACTTTTTATTGCCTACCTGGAATGGGTGACAATAGTTGAATAAACTAAAAGTTGACTAAATAAATGTAACTGTATGATCTGGTGAACTGTAAAGTGCCTTGAGATGACATGTGTTGGGAATAGAGACTGACATTTTTTCGGGAATCCCACGGGTCACGGGATACCCGCGAGATTCCCGTGGGATGGGAGTCAGTATTAGTAACGATCACGTGATTGGGACGGTACAGGATTAAACATTAACGGGAGCAGACGGGAGCGGGAGCAAACCAATAGTAACTAAAAAAAACTAGGATCTATGCCAAAAAATAAAATAAAATAGAAAGAAAAAAAAGTCCAGTGCTGGCGCCGCCATTTTGTAGTTTTTTTCCTTGAAGCCTACACTATAATGCGAGTCAAAAAAACTACACGACCCAAAAACCAACAGTGCTTCCGCTCTGAGTTTTTCACCCGCGCTCAAAAACAACAATGGAGGGACCAACAGTTAGTGGCGAACTCGACTTCGAAAAGTTTGATTGTTTTGATTGTTTATTCACCTAAAACAACCATAGTCTGTTTCCTTGTTTGTTACTTTTATTATGTATTTATAATTATTATTCCTTTTACTTTAACTGACCTTTACTACAGTTAGAAACAGGAACTTAACTGACCCTTCATAGAAATTCAGATTCAATGTATTGGCAGAAATCTTATTGAAGAGACC